GGAATTAAGATTGCCGGAAGAAATATCAACAACCTCCGATATGCAGATGATACCACTCTGATGGCGGAAAGTGAGGAGGAACTAAAGAACCTTGTAATGAGGGTGAAAGACGAGAGTGCAAAAAACGGTCTGAAACTCAACATCAAAAAAACTAAGATCATGGCCACTGGTCCCATCACCTCCTGGGAAATAGAAGGGGAAGATATGGAGGCAGTGACAGATTTTACTTTCTTGGGCTCCATGATCACTGCAGATGGAGACAGCAGCCCCGAAATTAAAAGACGCCTGCTTCTTGGGAGGAAAGCAATGACAAACCTTGACAGCATCTTAAAAAGCAGAGACATCACCTTGCCAACAAAAGTCCGAATAGTCAAAGCTATGGTTTTTCCTGTAGTGTTGTATGGAAGTGAGAGCTGGACCATAAAGAAAGCTGACCGCCGAAGAATTGATGCCTTTGAATTGTGGTGCTGGAGGAGACTCTTGAGAGTTCCCTGGACTGCAAAGAGAACAAACCTATCAATTCTAAAGGAAATCAACCCCGAGTGCTCATTGGAAGGACAGATCCTGAAGCTGAGGCTCCAGTACTTTGGCCATCTCATGAGAAGAGAAGACTCCTTGGAAAAGACTTTGATGTTGGGAAAGTGTGAAGGCAAGAGGAGAAGGGGACGACCGAGGATGAGATGGTTGGACAGTGTCATCGAAGCAACCAACACGAATTTGACACAACTCCGGGAGACGGTGGAAGACAGGAGGGCCTGGCGTGCTCTGGTCCATGGGGTCACGAAGAGTCGGACATGACTAAACGACTGAACGACTACTACTACTACGTGCTGTCAAGTCGATTCTGATTCATAGTGACCCTTTTGAGGCTTTCCTAGGTGAAGAGTACTCAGAAGTGGTTTACCAGTCTCTTCTTCTGGGGGCATCCTAGAACTGTGCTGATTTGCCCAAAGCTACACAGGGTGGCCCTTTTCCGGGGAAGCAAAGTAGGAAATCAAACTCCTTACCACACCTAAATTACTGAGCTATCTAGTAAGGACCATCAGATTTCACTGGACTATCACAGCTCCTTGAAACAGTAAGTGGTGCCTACATGAATAGCTGGATAGCTCAGTAAATTATTTATTATTTTATTTATTAGATTTATATAGCGCCCATCTAGAATGTATATACTCTGGGCAGTTTACATATAATATAAAAAATAAACAAAGATAAAATCTAAATTAGCCCAAGATGGGAAAGAAAAAAAGATAACAAAGGAGAAAAAAAATAAAAGAAAAGGGGAGATGGGCTAGGTAATGGCTGTAGTAGGAAGGCCTGCCTGGATAGCCATGTCTTAGTCTTGAAGGCCCTCAGCGAGGGAGCCAGGCAGCTCTCTACAGGTAAGTTGCTCCAAAGGCGAGGGGCCACTGCCAAGAAGGCCTGATTTCTAGTTTTTTCCCACCGGGCCTCTCTTGGCGTCAGGGCCTTGTGAAGCCAAAGGTTGGGAGTTCATTTCCTCACTGTGTCTCCTGGGAGAAAAAATCAACTGGTATAATGTCAGGCAAGCTATACAGCTTCAGGGTGCTCCTAGAAGAAGAGAATAGTAAACCACGATTGAGTGCTATCTACCCTGGAAAGGGACCGTGTCTTATGCAATTTCAGTTGCACATGTATAATCCCCTGTAGGATTCTGGCCACCAGAAGCTGTGCTTAAACTGGAGAGAGAGAGACATCAAGCTATGAACTGGGACTGGTAGCAGAAAATCAGGGTTTCAAATGAGATTCCTGCCTCATGCCAGCACAAGATTCCTGTCAATCCAAATAATGATCATAATTTTGCTCGACTTCTAAGACGAAATCTTAGAATAATCTTAGAACCGCAGAGCTGGAAGGGACCCTATGGCTATCGCTGAGTCCAGTCCTTGTCAAGGAGGCACAGCAAGGAATCGAACTTCCAGCTTCTAGCTCCACAGCCAGACAGCTAACCCACTGGTAGGTAGGTTAGTGTATTCAGAGTAGCCTGTTGTCTTGTTCCACAAGAGAAAGCTTTACAGGGAGGGAGGACCACCCTGTACCATGGAAGTGGGCACAGTGACAGTCTGGATGTCTCTGGAATGACCTAATGTGGAACTTCCTCCACAAGGATCATAACCACAACGTCAAAATGAAATATATTGCATATTGTTTGACAGCAGGGCTATTTCCCACAAGGCTGTCTTTTCCTAATTGCCTCGCCATGCATGCAGACCCACTGACATCAATGAAGCACACTGCCACCTTTGGTTCCACCCTCAACACCCTGACTTTTTAAAAAGGAAAACTTGGTTCTGCCTTGTTCCTTCTAGCGGGCATGAGAGGCCAATCTGCCATGTTGTGAAACATCTCCAGCATATTTGAAATCTCCTTTTAAAAAGGGAGGGGGGCACTAGAGGGGACAAGAGAGCTTTTTCACTTAAACACCCCTCCCACACACAATTTTTTAAGAAAATGTTTTCGGGGTGGGCATTGCAAGAGTAGCCTTCCATCTTGTGTGGATAGAATGATGTTGTCCCCAGACTGCTGGAGCTCATTATCTCTTTCTTTAATCACTGATGATAGTGTCATGTCACAATTTCCATCCCCCCCCTTCCTAAACACCAAGATTTTCAAAGCAATTAAAAAGCAAGATGTACCCATTTTATATTATTCTTCACAGTCTACTTACTCAATTGAGACGATCACAGCATCCAGAGATTCCGCCATAATCAAGCAGAGATTATTATAGTAACCTCCTCCTGGAATTAAAGAGGACCAGTGATGGGAAACAATGAAACATTAATGATACATACAGTCAGGTTCGTTCCATCAAGCCTTCAAGACCCAAATGTGAAATTAAAGTGAAATCCCAGTCATTATATTGGATTCATTACTTCACACAAATATCTGCAGCAGACATATTACTATTTCTTTTATTTCTAACATTTGGGCAGGTGTGTCACTGCTTATGTAATCCATCATCATCATCATCATCATCATCATCATCATCATCATGGAATTGACCCTATGGATCATCAAGTCCAGCCCCTGTCAAGGAGAGACTGTGAGGAATCATCCTCCCAACCTCTGGCTCCACAGCCAGATAACTAAAACACTGAAATATCCAGCAGTTCATCTAACTATGTCAACTACTTTTATTCCTCTTTGGGGAACAGATGAGAACTTGGAGATACTTTTAAAAAGTAATTCATTCCTAATACTCATTACAATGTTTAAAAAAATAACTAATTGTCACTGCTTCTTACAATGGTGAAAAAGTAACTCATCACACTCTTCTTTATTCTGCTTATTATTTTCTATTACCTGGAAGAAAAAGAAAACTTTGAACTGATAAGAGAATAGCATAAAACATGAAAAATATTTGTTACATAATGCTTCTAAAATGCCTTAAAATGACCTTTAAAAGGAACTTATGAAATGAAGTTGAACACATTGCTCAATACCAATGTAAAATCACTTGAATTCTACTGACTAGATTACTTTTAAAATATAGTTATGTGATATTCTCTTTACTCGCGAAGTAACTATTTGCATGCAACTGTATGGCCCGTAACTTGCTACTTCCTAGCCCCTCCCAACCTCTGCCTTAGTGCAGAGGCAGACTGACCTCAGGCCTGTAAAACATTGTGGGCTTTTGAACCCAGTCTTTATCACAAGAACCCTAGTGAAAAACAGAGGAGAGGTGGGTGTAGGCTAAGAATTAAGAAACAGGGTGCTTCTGAGGAGATTATTAGTCTAGGAATTTGTAATTGATGGTTGTTGTTAGGTGCCATTCATTCAACACTGACCTATGGTGACCCTATGAATGAGGGATCTCCAAAATGTCTTGTCCTCAACAGCTCAGCTCAGCTATTATAAACTGTGGTTTCCTTGATGGCATCAATCCATCTCACATTTGGTCTCCCTCTTTTCCTGCTGCTTTCAACTTTTCCTAGCATCATTTCCCCCCAAAGAGTCTTGCCTTCTCATGATGTGTCCAAAGTACAACAGCCTCAGTTTTGTCATTTTTTGCCTCCAGACTTAGTTCAGGCTTGATCTGGTTTAGGACCTACTTGTTTGTCCTTCTAACAGTCCAGGGTATTCACAGGGTTCTTCTCCAGCATCACATTTCAAAGCAATCAGTTTTTTTCCTGTCAGCCTTCTGCACTGTCCAGCTTTAATGCCTGTACATAATGATCAGGAATACAAGAGTATGGATGATCTTGGTCTTCATTGAGACATACTGACACTTGATGGACTTTTATAATTCCTTCATTGCTGTTGTTCTGAATCTCACTCTTGGGTGGATTTATTTTTTTGACTTATAATTGAACTAAGATATCAAAACTCTTTAACGATTTTAGTTTCTTCATTTTAAATATTAAAGATGTATAGTTCTTCTTTCATCATGATTTTTGTTCTGTTCCAGCAAAACCAGGGAGCTGGACAGGGGACAGACTGTATTTGTCTTCAGTGTGGAAGGGATTGTCACTCTCGAATAGGCCTTCTCAGCCACACTAGACGCTGTTCCAAGACCTCTGTTCAGAGCATGTTACCATAGTCTCTCGAGACTGAAGGATACCTAATCTAATCTGTTCTGTTCATATTCAGCTGCAGTTCTGCTTTGGCAATTTCTTTGCTCATTTTCATCAAAAGTAATTTCAAATCATTGCTGCTTTCTGCCAGTAAGAAAGTATCATCTGCATATTTTAAATCGATGTTCTTTCCACCAATGTTCACTCTTCCGTCATTTGAATCTAGTCCAGTTTCCTGTCTATGCTCTGATTACAGACTGGAAAATAAGGAAATTAAATACACCCTTGTCTTAATTACAGGGCACCATTCTGTGTCTCCATATTCTGTCCTAACTGCAATTTGTTGTCCACAGTACATTTTACGTGTTGGGGCAATCAAGTGCTAAGGAACACCCAGTTCTTTCAGAATTATCCATAACTTCTTGGTTCATCGCCAAAAGCCCTGCTATAGTCTATAAAACACAGACTGATCTTTTTCTGAAATTCCTTAGTGCCCTCTGGGAGCTAGCAGATATTTGCAATATATTTTTCTTTTCAAAATCCAGCTTGAACATCAGGCATTTCTCACTCCATATAAGGTAAAAACTTTTGTTGTAACATTGGGAGCATCACTTTGCTTGCGGAGGAAATGAATGAAATGGTTTTGTAGTTACTGCATTCCTTGGCATATCTTTTTTTGGGGGGGGGGACTGGAATTGAACATTTTCGGTGGGTTGTTGACTAGAGAGACGATGGCGGAAAATTTGGAGGGAATCCAACCAAACACAGGCTAGGGGCCATTGGAAAGCCTACTCTATGGCAGCGGCAGGAGCAGCTGCAAAGTTGTCATTGTTCTCTGCCACCACTGTATTTGCACAGTCTGGAGGAGCTCTTTTGAGTGGTGAATAGCCTATTGCATCATGGCCTGCAGGAACAGAATGCAGACCATACTGTAGCTCGCTATGAAGAGTCTGTGTTTTGCAGGCAAAATTGCTTGGATCTGCTCTGACTTGGAAGCTGTAGATGATACAAGTCCTGTGGATGTAAATATGGCCTCTTCTTGTCCTGTGTTAATGCATAAGTTTCAGTTTTGGCAGCCTGACGATGTGGGCAGGACCCTTGGAGAGATGAAGGCTACCACTTGTCTGCTGGACATGGCTTATAAAACCCTTCCCGGCTTATAAAAGTTATCAGAGAGGAACTGGTCAAGTGGGTACAAGGAGTGATGAATACCACCTTGCAGCTGGGCTGGATCCAAGCACGCCTAAAGGAGGCAGTGATGAAGACAATTGTTGAAAAAAGCTTCCCTTGAATCTTACAGTAATGAATAACTCAGTTCAGTCTTTTCCCATGAGACAGACCATGAACTTCCAAACAAATTGGAAGGGCAAGTGGCGGGGGGGGGGGAACAGGATTGCAGCTAGGGATAGATAAACAAATACTGTAGTCAAGGAATACTTTACCACCTTGAACCAGTTCAAATCTCCATGGCCAGATGAACTGCATCCAAGAGTACTGAAGGAACTGTCTGAAGAATTCTCTGAACCACCATCCATTATTTTTTTGAAATCATGGGAAACAGGTGAGGTGCCAGAGGTTTGGAGGAGGACCAATGTTGTCCCTATCTTCAAAAAGGACAAAAAAGAGTAACCTGGGAACTACAGGCCAGTCAGCCTGACATCAATCCCAGGCAAAATTCTGGAACAGATCATAAAGCAGTCATTGTGCAAGCATCTAGAAAATAATGCAGTAATAACTAGAAGGCAACATAGATTTGTCAAGAACAAATCCTGCCAAACTAATTTGATCTTTTTTTTATCAGATTACCTCCCCGATAGACAGAGGGAACGCTGTAGACATAGTAGATCTTGACTTCAGCAAAGCTTTTGACAAAGTGCCCCATGATCTCCTGATTAGCAAGCTAACTAGGTGTGGGCTGGATAGATCAAGTGTCAGGTGGATACACTATTGGCTACAGAATCATAAGAGGGTGATGATTAATGGGTCCTTCTCTAACTGGGAGGAGGTAACAAGTGGGGAACCCCAAAGCGCAGTCCTGGGCCTGGTGCTCTTCAATATTTTTATTAATGACCTGGATAAGGGAGTTCAGGGTATGCTTGTCAAATATGCACACGATACCAAATTGGACAGAATAGCTAATACCCTAGAAGACATAAACAAAATTAAAAATGGCCTTGATAGGATGGAGCACTGGGCTGAAAGCAACAAAATGAAATTCAACAGGGATAAGTGCAAAGTACTGCACCTCGGAAAAATAAACCAAAAAGAAACCAGTTACAAGATGGGGGATATCTGGCTCAGCAAAAGAACGAGCGAGAAGGGTCTTGGAATTGTCGTAGATCACAAGCTGAATATGAGCAAACAGTGTGATGTGGCTATTAAAAAGGCAAATGCTATTTTAGGCTGCATTAATAGAAGTATAGTTTTAAAATCCTGCGAGGTGCTAGTCCCCCTCTATTCAGCACTGGTTAGGCCTTACCTTGAGTATTGTATCCAGTTCTGGACACCACACTTTAAGAAGGATGCTAACAAATTGGAACAAGTTCAGAGGATGGCAATAACGATGATCTGGGAGCTGGAAACCAAGCCCTATGAGGAAAGGCTGAAAGAACTGGGCATGTTTAGCCTTGAGAAAAGGAGACTGAGGGGTGATATGATAGCACTTTTCAAATATTTGAAAGGCTGTCATACAGAGGAGGGGCAAGATCTGTTCTCGATCATCCGAGAGGGCAGGACACACAACAATGGGCTCAACTTAAAGAAAGCTCAATTTTGGTTAAATATCAGGAAAAGCATCCTAACTGTTAGAGCAGGACGACAGTGGAACCAGTTACCTCGGGAGTTGGTGAGTGCTTCAACACTGGAGGCATTTAAAAAAAAAACCTTAGATAATAACTTGGCAGATATGCTTTGATTGTATTCCTGCATTGAGCAGAGGGTTGGACTTGATGGCCTTGTAGGCCCCTTACAACTTCACTTTTCTACGATTTCCATGAATTGCAATGGGGCCTCGATTTATGAATGTCCTGACTTACGACCATTTCGAGTTACGACCAGCTTGGCCACAAAATTTTGCTTCTACTTACAACCGGAGATTCGAGTTACGACTGGAAAAAAGGTTGGGAAAAAGATGGGGAATTTAGATTACTAACCATTGGTTGGCGAAGAGGCTGCTTCTTTTTAGCTCTTTCACCCTAACAGTTAGAGTGTGTGTCGGAGGAGGCTTTTGATTGCCTGGTGCTGCTTTCTGCTTCTGAGTGAGTACGTACAGGATTTTGCAGGGTGGGTTTGGGCTGGGGGGGGTATGTTTCTGTGTTGTGATTTGTGTGTGTGTGTTTTGGTGCATATGTTTTTTTTCCAGCCCCAGTGTATTCCAATGGGGCTTACTGTTTTGTGTGTGGTTTTTTTGGTGATTTTTTTCAGCCCCAGCGCGGTCCGATGGGGCTTGTTGAGTTCTTTTTCTAATTTTTTTTTTTCAGCCCCAGCACGTTCCGATGGGGCTTGCATGGCTTTTGGGGGGTGGTGGTGATTTTTTTCCTGCCCCGATGCGTTCCGATGGGGCTTGCAGTGTTTTTTGGTGATTTTTTTTTGGTCTGGAATGGATTAATTGTGTCCCAATGCATTTCTATGGGAAATGGTGCTTCGACTTACGACCATTTTGAGTTACGTCCATCCTCTGGAATGGATTAAGTTCGTAAGTCGAGGCACCACTGTACCTGAAATGGAAGTATTTGTATGATGTTTAATGGAGGTACAGTATAAGCAAATACAAATATTCCCATCCCAGCTGCACCTAAGGTGGGGCTGCCCACCCCGAACCAGCCCATCCACTCACATGTCCTGGCACTGCTAGCATTACATTCATCCTGTCAATTGGAGAAGTAGTTCCTCTGTCTCCCTGCTCAGCTGGCCATTCAGCAGCCACGTGGGGAGACTCATCCTCCCTGCCTGAACTGGCCAGCCGAGCATGGAGACGGAGGAGCTACTTCCGCAACTGGCAGGAAGAATGAGATACTGGTGGTGCCAGGATTCGTAAGTCGAGACCCCACTGTACTTCCGCAACTGGCAGGAAGAATGAGGTACTGGTGGTGCCGGGGCACAAGAGTAGATGGGCTGGTTGGGAGTGGGTGGGGCAGACCAGCATTAGGTGCTGCTGGGACAGGAATATTCATATTCATTTACGAATATCCCCCTCTCTAACCAGTCAGTCTCTATTGTTCCATTCTTGAGCAAGGTGCTAGAACAGGTAGTGACTCCTCAGCTCCAGGGGTTCCTGGATGAGATAGGCTGTCTAGACCCATTTCAATCTGGCTTCAGGCCTAGTTATGCTTTGGTCGCCTTGGTGGATGACCCATGCCAGGAACTGAATGGGGGAACTGTATCCCTGTTGGTTCTGCTAGACCTCTCAGGAGGTTTTAATACCATCGACCATGGTATCCTTTAGGGCCACCTCTCTGGGATGGGACTTGGAGGCACTGTTTTACTGTGGAACTGGGAGATTCCTGTTCAACACCCTGGCCATTGGAGGCACTGTTTTACAGTGGCTTCAGTTTTTCCTGGAAGGGAGGACTCAAGGTGGAACTGGGAGATTCCTGTTCAACACCATGGCCGTTGGGTTCTGTTTTGTCCCCTCTGCTCTTTAACACCTCCATGGAATTGCTAGGAGAAGCTGTCTGGATGTCTGGGGTTTGGTATCTCCAGTATGTGGATAAAACCCAGCTCTATCTCTGTGCTTTTCATTCAAATCCGAAGAGGCTGTTTGAGTTTTAGATCAGTGGCAGATGTCAAAAATGGACTGGATGAAAATGGAAATTTTATCCAGACAAGACAGAGGTGCTCCTGGTCAGCTGAAAGGCATGGGATTGTGTCTAAATATACCAGTCATAAATTTTCACTCCAACATTTGAAGAAGTGGACATAATCCATGAAGGCCCACATTTAGTCATCATTGTATCTGTTTTTTTAAATAAAGTTCTATTGTTTATCCTTTACTGTTTTTATCTGGACATCCCTTCATATAAAAACATACTCTTGGGCTCCTACACTCTTTTAGTGTTCCTTTTTGCATAGTCTTCTTTAGAAGGAAAAATAACCCATATTTATGTATTGCAATTGTTAGACAGCTGGTAGTCAGAAACCTTGTCTGATCCACTGCTGATCAAGTAGAGATCTATCAGTAGGCAGATCCTGACATCACGCCTTCTTTCATTAAATTTATATACTGTATCTCATCCCATCACAGAATAGGAACAGGGGGAAAATAGAATCATGGTGCCTTTTAGACCACATACTTGCACTTGCTAATGCCCATCCTCCTCCATGAACATAGACCACACCGCGTCTCAGTGTCTTCTCTCTTCCTCCTGTGGAAGGCTCATATACTCTGACTTCCACGCCGTCAAACTGAGTATCTGTTATCTTCACTTTTTCCGAGGACTGGGTGTTTAGCTTGTCAAAGGAACAAATCACAAAATTCAAAAGTCTCAGATGATGTCCGAGTCCCAGGGAATGAGCCAGGTTGCACTAGGATGGGAAAAAGATAATATGTGAATGAGGAAAGGTTTGAAAGAAGGAAGAAGAAAATAAACACCCATATAAACATTTAACATTGTTTGCTGATTAGTATGGCCATTTATTTTTGTGCTTTCTTCTTGCTTCTAAATTTAAAAAAAAGACTACAAAAGGTAGAAAGTCAAGCTGAAAATTACTGCCACGTGGATAAGCGTATTTTATGTCCTTGATCATTCTGTGTTTTATAGTCCCTGAACATAAATTTGGTTACAATATAAATACTCTAAAACCACCTGGCTGATAAAGATTTACAGAAATTGAGAGAGCTTTAAAATGCATAAAATGTAATTATACTCTCCTGGAAAGGACATATTTCTGATCTCTGGAATGAACATATAGCACCTCCAGAATGCTGTCTTGATTGCAAAGAGCTTAACTGGGTGATTTTTGCAGCTTAAGACACCATTAAGGCATACATTATGGATGCCAGCTGAATGGTTGGTTGCCTGAGAGGTTATGCTCTCTCAGAATTCAAAGCTCAGATGCTAGAAGAAGCTGGCATGCCATACTGAACATGTCCAGGATTTGAGATTTTGAACATGTAAGAGGGTCTGAAAAGTTGGAAAACACAAATAAAGCACATAAAGGGGAAGTAGTGAAAAATAAAGAGGAAGTGAGAAACTTTAGCAGAGATTTTGTAATGCAAGGAGCATTGATTGACTAACCACTTTCAAAACAGATGTATTGTCACTCCTTCCACCAAGCTCATGAGATCTACAGTTCAAGTTGTATTAAAGTCACAAACCTGCCAAGCCGTGTTACACATTGGCCCAAACCCTCTTGCTTAGAATAGTAAATCACACTAGCGTAGGCCCAGGGATTTGGTGAGTCAGCTCCTCCCTAAGTTCCACTGATTCAAATGGGCCTACTCTAACTCTGACTTAACTTCAACACAGTAGGTCACAACTGGAGTTGGCTCAAAATTATCTGCTATATTTATTAATTGTACTGTGGTGCTCCTGACATGAACAAAGAAAGCAGGATGAAGAAAATTATTCTAGCAAAAAAGTAACAACGGCTGATAAGGCATAAGCTTTCTCTTCCAAAGGAAGATAACAATGACTTTCATAATGCCTTTCAATATGTGTGGTTGTGGCATGGAAGCCAATAAGCCCTTTCACCACCATGCAAGTGTGGGCACATGCTAGATGGCGGTGCACTAGATCCAGGGCCTATGGGAGCCAGAGTGCTAGTTTTTTTTAAGCAAGGCACATTATCAAAAGCCAGATCTCTCGAGCGTACCTGTTTTTTTAAAAAACATAACTACAGTCCTCACAAAAACATGGTAGAGATGGCGGTGACGGAAAAAGATAGATTTTTTTCCTAGTGACAATATATTGTTGTGCATTATCCTGATTGTAATGCTAGATTTTATAGGGTGCAAAGCAAGCCCTGACTGCGCTGGGGGTGAAAAAAAACCCAACCAACCAACCAACCAACCAAACAAAAACAAATCAAAAATAAACAGCAAAGCAAGCCCTGACTGCGCTGGGGGTGAAAAAAAACCCAACCAACCAACCAACCAACCAAACAAAAACAAATCAAAAATAAACAGCAAAGCAAGCCCTGACTGCGCTGGGGGTGAAAAAAAACCCAACCAACCAACCAACCAACCAAACAAAAACAAATCAAAAATAAACAGCAAAGCAAGCCCTGACTGCGCTGGGGGTGAAAAAAAACCCAACCAACCAACCAACCAACCAAACAAAAACAAATCAAAAATAAACAGCAAAGCAAGCCCTGACTGCGCTGGGGGTGAAAAAAAACCCAACCAACCAACCAACCAACCAAACAAAAACAAATCAAAAATAAACAGCAAAGCAAGCCCTGACTGCGCTGGGGGTGAAAAAAAACCCAACCAACCAACCAACCAACCAAACAAAAACAAATCAAAAATAAACAGCAAAGCAAGCCCCGAAGGTGCTGGGGCTGCAAAAAAAAAAAATCACGAAAAAACCCAACAACACAGCACAGAAACATAACCCCCCCAGCCCAAACCTACCCTGCAAAACCCACCCAGAGCAGTTTTTAAAAAAGCAGAAAGCAGCACCTTACCTTACCTTACCAGGCAGTCCGAAGCCTCCTCCAATTGCACTCTCTCTAACTGTTGGGGCGAAAGAGCTACAAAGAAGCAGCCTCTTTGCCTACCAACAGTTCACAAATTTGAATTCCCCGCCTTTTCCCCCTGCCTTTTCTGGTTGCAACTCGAAGCTCCAGCCGCAAGTTGAAGCAAAATTTTGCAGCCGGAGTTGGTCGCAACTCAAAATGGTTGTAAGTGGGGACATTTGTAAGTCAAGGCAACATTGTACTCAATGTCGGTGCGTGGAGGTGTAGGAATGCTCCACTGAGGGATGCATAGCACTGTGCGCTCATGCCGCCGCACACTTTAGAGGAAACCTTGAACAGGACTCAGGAGGCTTGGGTTCAATTTCTTAGCTCTGCCATGGAAACTAATTGGGCTGTGTGTGGAACAGGTAAAACCACTCACTGACCTTGAAAACCCTATTAGGACCAGTATAAATAGTCCGTTCTGACTTGAGGCCACAGAACATAATTGCTTCAGGACCAGCTCGAAACCTTTTTGTTTGTCAAGGCATTTTGGCAATCTAACTCCATCTATTTTATTGGCTTTTCCTGCCTTTCTCTGTTCTGATTGGGAGTTTTTATTGTTGCCATTATTGCTCTTCCAGCTATATACACAACTGCCCCGGTGTCTGTAAGGATGCAGGCAGTTTCCAAACACTTCAAGAAATATGTAAGTTTGGAAGAACAAAAATCTCCCACCCTCCAAGATAATTTTCAGTTACCACACAGACACAGACAACAAAGTCTGAACCATAAATCCTAAGGGGGCAGTTTGGAAAGAGCTGTTTGGTAATATGAGGCACAATATAATTTTTTTGTTTGGAGATAATAAAAATATGCTTTGCGCAATTTACACAGCTAGACAGCTTAGAAAAACCTGGGTCTTCTCTGTCCCCAGCCAAACCCTATGGGAGCAAACATTACAGCAAAGAGCAGTAGACTGAAAGTCCATGCTAGATATAGGTGAAAGTTCAATTGTCACATTACAAGAAACATGAAACCAGCTGATGTTGTCCAAAGGCAGGAGCGATGGGTGTCATGCTTCAGAGAAGTATCCGTCAGTCATGAAATGTGTGACACAAAAGGGCAATACAACAGAGCACCCGCTTGAAAGTGAACACCTACACACATTTTTTCCCCAGAAGAAAATCCCTTTGAACTGAATGAGGTAAGAGAGTACAGGACGGCCACTTACATTGGCTTTGAAAAAGACATTTTAGCTACTCAAGCACAAGACAAATGCAACTCAAGAAGAATTGCAGCTCCTGTCTAAGGAAGAAGGTCTTGAGAAATCATGTCCACAGGAAACTGAGCAGTTAGTCTCCTATTTAGTGCAAAAAAAAATAGTGCAAATTTTCATTCCGAGGCCCCTTTCCCTTTGTCTCAGAGTCATGTCATCCTGCACAGAGCTCAGAATACCATTTCAAACACCTACGTAATGTGTTCTGTCACTCAACCAAGGTTATCAAAGGTCCTTTTGCTCCACATGCAAAAGCAACATACTAACCGGTCCTTATTAGCAGCCATTTGAAAATGCATGAAAATATTGAGTGGCTCCCTAAACTGGCCAATTCTGTTTACCGCACACAAAACACGCTTCAGAAACACATCCAAAAGCAAACCTTTCCTTATCACCTTTGTCCACCCACCCACCCAAGGGAAATGGATTGGTGGTCCAGCACATAAAAGTGCGACCGACACACATTCTTAGGAGCATTCATTTAGCGGAGAAATTGAACCATCACTGTCCTGTTTGAGAGGAGGGAGAATGTTGAAGGAAGGAAGGCCACCGATCGAATCCTGACACAGCATGTGGCCCTAGCTCAGAATCACTCGGAGATCAAGACAGCAGAGACAAGGGTGGTAGGGGAGTTGCACATGTTGTTTCCATTTCATGCCTTAGCTGTCTTTTATTTCCTTCCAACACCCAATTTTCAAAAATAATGTCTCTTTTAAACCTCCTTTCCTCCCAACTAACCTGAATCAGCTCATGCTGCCCCCTTCCTCGAGAGAGTGCTGTTTTTAATATTTGTGCTTCTTTTGCTTGCTGTTACTTTCTGTTTAATTTATTTCAGATCGGTTTTACCAAGGGATGGAGGTTTCTAAATCTATTTGATGGTATTTATTGCTAGGTACTGTACTTGGTTTCATTTACTATAATGTGACCTTAATGTGTTTTAATGTGTTGTGAACGGCCCAGAGAGTGACTGCAGTATGAGTATCCAAGCTGAAAGAGTAAATAAATAAATAGTACTTGAAAAATGCTGCTAATATTTCTTCCACCCAAACTGATTATTAACACTGCCTCTATACTTATGTCAGAGTATTAAAAAATTTATAGGCCTGAACAGAACAGAAGCATTAATGAGCTGCCATGATATCCAGGTGTGTAAAATGCTGAGTCACAGTGATTCTGGACAGGTGGATGATGCAACATCTGCTCTGACAGGGCAAGGGCAGGTGCTTTAGTGTTTATATATTTGAACTCTGCAGAGATGTACCTAGTGTTTATATATTTGAACTCTGCAGAGAAGATGTACCCCTTCCCTCTTCTACTGATGATTCCATGCTGTTGTGCTGCTGCTCTGTATATATGTATATACGTATGCTGTAAATACACATGTCATGCTTGAAGAAGCTGTGAGTTATTTTTGCCATCAGGACCCAAAATAGCACTCTGCTAGATCCTCGTGGGTTCACGCGTTAACATTTCTGTTGCTTCTTTTGAGCATTAATATCCTGCCTTTCCTCAAAGTCACATACCCCTTCCAATTTTATCCTCATAACAACCCAGTAAGGCAGTGGCTGGTTTAAAGTACTCCAGTCACTTTCAAAATTTGAGCAAGTTTTCTTGGTTCTTAAAACAC